CCCACTGACTGAGAGCCTGGAACAGGCTAGCATCAATGATGTGACTTGACGTTAAGTACAGTGGCAGGGGCAGGGGGTTGTTTTTTTTTGTATTGTTTTGTTTTGTTTTGTTTTGGTTTTTTTTTGGATTTTGTTACCAAAAATGTTATCTTCACGTGTGAGGATATCATATCTTCACACGTGATTTTTTTTTATAATTATTTTTTTACAGCAGTACTACAACTACTAATTACAGAAGTGATAACTATTCACAACAGTAATACAACTACTAACACTACTTACTCTAATTAACAATACGGTGCAATTACGCGTGCTACTTACAGGCAGGGGGATTGTTTGGGGCGTGGCAATAGAGCAGAGGAAGTGGTAGAGTTTAAAAGGGGAAACAGTAGGGGGAGTTATGAAGCTGCACTGTACTGCGGCAGTAGCAACAAACAGGACTGAGATGACAATGATGACAATGATGACGACCAGAAGAAAGGCAGTTTGTAAAATGAATCAATGATCATGAAAGCCACTCAACACTTCCATCAATGACAAGCAATTTGTAGTAAGTGAAGAACGTGCACAAAAGAAAGTCAATAAGAGTACAATGTCCGTGTGCAGACTGATACATTCAATGTTCTCACCCTGATGGCTCTCCTTTAGAGTAGCAAGGAGTTAAGAGGTTTTCTATACTTCCCCATGACTTGGTATGACCCTGAAACACAAAACACATAACATACTGTAAATTACAAATTATATTAAAAAAATCAGTGATGATGATGACGATGGTGACAATGGCGACAAGAATGGAAATGATAATGTTTACAGCAGCACTTCTCTTTAATGATACAGTGGAACCCCGCCTTACGACCACCCAGTTAGTACGACCACCTCATTATTATGGCCCAAAAAAAATGCTCAGTCAGTCTTTTTTTTATTTAAAGAACCCCTTTAACACGACCACTGCGTTCATGCGACCAATTTTTCATGGCCCAAAGGTGGTCGTATTAACGGGGTTCCACTGTAGCTTGTATACATGTAGACATGGAGATAGCTTTTCTAGAGTTCAGTCATCTTGTGACCATATGATAAATAAACAATTTATCAAGAAATGAGATTTTTTATCATTGAATCTTGGAGAACAAGAGAGTAAGAACTGCAACGAAATATAATCTTATTGACTACTCTCATAAGTCTATCACTTAGCCTGTAAAATAACTGCAGGCCACACATGTCCTTCAATCAATGCATCACTGTAGGTGCACAGGTTGTTGATGATACTTACCGGAGTGTCAAACTCTGGAACAACTCTGATTCCACGCAGTCTGCCATATTCAACAATCGCACTTACATTTTCCTTAGTATAAATGTGAGTTTTATTGTTGTATGCACCCTAGAATAGATAAATAATGTACGCAATTAAATGAAAAATACATTGGAGTTACAAGTAGCTATGACAGACTGTAAATTCTTGATATCTTTGACTATAATTTAGAAATTACCTGAGAGCAACTACCGGAAATTTGTTGACTTCATTTTCTCAGCACCAAATATCAAGTGACATTCTCTAAGATGGAACCCCAGGGAAAATCAAAGAGGCCCAGCCCTTGAGCTAAAAAAACTGATGGTGAACAAGGAGCTTGGAGAAGAGGACACACTCATGAGGATTACAAGGAACATGGAAGATGGAGGACACAATGTGTTCACTTCATCTAAGTATGTAAAAATAACTTAATGTATGTATATAATGAGATTGTATCAACCACACTGCTCCAGGTGTGTAGTGTATTGAGCCAGTGGTTGACATTATGAGCATGCGCACTTATGCGCATTCTGTTCCATGTGCTTCGATTTGCAATAAATCTAATACATGACAAGGTGGCACTCAAAGGCTATTAGGGTAAAAAGATTTTTATACCTGGCCACTTAACTGAGGAAAACTTTCGCTGACAAATGGAAAGGACTGATCATCCACAACATGCCAGTGAAGAACATTAAACTTGTTGTACGACATTGCATCCTACAGATTGAAGATTGAACAGATTGAAGAAATTACAATTCTGTTTCTGCAAATTCGTGTTATTAGACAAGTCAGAAGAGTAGATTGAGATCTTGTGTGAGAACTCCTCTTCCTTTTGAAATGCTCACATTATTCAGGCTGCATTACAAATTGAACTGGTCTAATCTTTTAAATATATTTGCATTTTCATGTGAGGGCACAATTCCTTCTAGTGACACAAATCATAAGCAGACTATTTTAAGGATATATATGAGAGATCATTGCGGTTAATTTTAAATTACCCGCCGGCTAAGCCAGAAAAAGAAATTCAGGCTCAATTTTTTCTGGCTTTTAATTTTTGCAACTGCCTTAGGAGAAGTGACTACACTCATTTTTTTAAAAAAAACTAATGATCTCCCATTTTCTTTATCATTTTCAATCTCCAGTTCAAATAATCTAACATACAATATTTCATAACATCTGTTAGCACAGTTACATAGACTCTACATTCGTTTAACTCAATCAAATGTTTATGACATACACATCCCAACTCAAGGTTTTAATTAAGTGTCAGTGTTTCTAATAAGTGCCCACCCTTGAACTGACCCAAACTTAAATGTGCACCCTGGTTGCTGAATTAAATTATTATGATCATTAATAATTAAAAACATACAATGAACTTGAGGATGATAGATGGTTCCAAGTAATGTCTGGCAGTATCAATCATGAACCCTCTGTGGTGAAATCGTGGATGATCAATGATTGTTGAACCATTTGCCAAATACTGAAAACAAACCATGGACAAAAGTTACTACCAAATAAAAATAAAAATATATTTCAAGGCCCCTGCAGTGTAACGAGGGAAGGGCTTCGAGAGTTTATAAGTACGCCTAATATCAATATACAATGAAATGAACCATTTTGATGATGTCTGACTGACACATTATCAACAATTTTTCATATTATTTTTTTTACAATTATTTATAAACATAATTGGCCTCCAATTACAATTTATCCTCCAGAATTCAGTAAAATGTGAGAATCCTTTGCAAGCTCATAGAAATATGGGATACCAATTGACTTACCAGTTTTTACAAAGAGATGTAAGCCAGGGAGCATTATGATTTATTTACCTCACTGGCATTATGCTACCTATACTCTGACTCAACCACAATTTTACTGTAGGTTAAATATCTTTTAATATAATTCGAGCAAATATAAGAATTGACAGCATGAGAAAGAAAGATTAATGAATTACTGAAAAGTGAATTGGCTCACCAATCCATCTAGATCTTGGTGAACAACTTGACTGAATGTTTCAAGACCTGTTAATAAAAAGTTTACATGTCAACTAATTTGTAATTTAATTAAAATTTGACCATATATGCTGTATGATCTCTTTAAGTTATTAAGAGATCACCTGATCAACATATATGTAGTCAAAACATTTAAACAATAAGTTAATCAGACTAATGAATTATATCATGTTTCCCTATGTTTGAGGGTCGGGCAGGTAGACTTTATGATACTTCAAGGGATATCCTCAAAGTGCTTTTTCACTCGAAAATTAAATTTACGTCATGAATGTCAGTTGATTGCTTAGTTGAAAGTAAATAATTTGTGAACATATGATTGAGAACATTGTGCGTAGTTGAATAATAAATTATTGTGTACCCTGAAATCCTTATTGCCATAATCTTACCCTCAGAAATTGAAATTACAACTTCTTTGCCAGGACCTTGTTTTTTATTGCTGGACTACAGTCCTTATATTAGATTCATGAGGTGTCTCTTGGAAGCAAGTGACTAAACCTGCAGACTAGCTATATAGTTGATGCCTGAGTTGATGGCGAGACATTACTATCAACAAAATATTATGTAATTATTATTTACACTTGCCACACAGTTGTGTAGCTACATACCTCGCAGTGCACCCCACACTGTTTTAGCAGTAAGAGATGAAGAGGGAGCTTCCACCAAAAGGATGTCTTTATTTAAAGTAGAACAAAATATTAATTTATATTATATTGCATTTATTAACTTACTTCAATAAATAACTAAATAAATGAAAATGCAACAAAAATAAACCGGGAAGAAAGTATACCTCGCCTTCCCACCCTAGCCTGCAAATACAGACATATTTCCAGCTGTCGCTTGTCTCTGCTGAAAATAATGTCTGCGAACTCGAGACAGGAAACGATTTCTGTGAAGTAGGAATTTTAAGCCAATCACAGTTAAGCTCAAGTAGCCCCAGAACTACTGCGTGAGGTATTCACTGTGAGGAGCACTTGAGTATCATTCTGTCATGGAATCTGATTGGCCAAGGAGAAACAAAAGTCACTACGTCACTACGTACGTTATTTTTGGCGGAGACAAGCGACAGCTGGAAATACGTCTGCGTTCGCAGGCTATTCCCACCCAGGCTACTCCCACCGTTATGTAATGACTAAAGACATTGTATATAAACAACAGGCTACATTCTGGGATGAGGTTTAAAAACTAACATTTAGGGGTCAACATTATCTCCAAGTAAAAACAATCTGGTATCATTACAACGTTTGAAACATAAAGCTTACTGCAAAAATTTCAAGTGCTTTCAATCTTACGCTTAAGGTTACTTACAGGACTCGTCCGACTCCAGCGATAGAGGTGCATATTTTTCTTCAACCTTAACGGATAGTTGAGTAATTTGAGGTAACCCTGCTTTTGGTTTTTCACTAGGATCGGGAAAAACCAAGTCTCTGTACCGTGTAAACGCTTCCTTGAGCACATCACTCGTTTCACCCGTTGAATCGAAGGAGAATTCGCTTGAAGTCAGTGTATACACCTTGCCACTCGCGTTGTTCGATTGAGGTTTCGGCCAAATGGACCCTGTGACGTAATCGATGGATGTTCTAACCCATTCCTCTTCTTCTTCTTCGTTCCACGGTTCTGACAGACTTGCTGAACAAATTGTCAAAGCAAAGGCAAGGAAAAGCAGCTTCAGTTCAATCATTTTGAAGTAGCAACGGGNAGGGAGCTTCCACCAAAAGGATGTCTTTATTTAAAGTAGAACAAAATATTAATTTATATTATATTGCATTTATTAACTTATTTCAATAAATAACTAAATAAATGAAAATGCAACAAAAATAAACCGGGAAGAAAGTATACCTCCCCTTCCCACCCTAACCTGCGCATGCAGACATATTTCCGGCTGTCGCTTGTCTGTGCTGAAAATAACATCAGTGAACCCGAGCCAGGAAACGATTTCTGTGAAGTAGGAATTTTAAGCCAATCACAGTTTAGCTCAAGTGGCCCCAGAACTACTGCGCAAGGTATTCACTGTGATGAGCACTCGAGTTTCATTCTGTCATGGAATCTGACTGGCCAAGGAGAAACAAAAGTCACTACGTCACTAAGTTATTTTCGGCGGAGACAAGCGACAGCTGGAAATACGTCTGCGTTCGCACGCTATTCCCACCCAGGCTACTCCCACCGTTATGTAATGACTAAAGACATTGTATATAAACAACAGGCTGCATTCTGGGATCAGGTTAAAAAACTAAAATTTAGGGGTCAAAATTATCTCCAAGTAAAAACAATCTGCTATCATTACAACGTTTAAAACATAAAGCTTGCTGCAAAAACTACAAGAGCTTTTAATTTTAGGCGAAAGGTTACTTACAGGACTCGTCCGACTCCAGCGATAGAGGTGCATATTTTTCTTCAACCTTAACGGATAGTTGAGTAATTTGAGGTAACCCTGCTTTTGGTTTTTCACTAGGATCGGGAAAAACCAAGTCTCTGTACCGTGTAAACGCTTCCTTGAGCACATCACTCGTTTCACCCGTTGAATCGAAGGAGAATTCGCTTGAAGTCAGTGTATACACCTTGCCACTCGCGTTGTTCGATTGAGGTTTCGGCCAAATGGACCCTGTGACGTAATCGATGGATGTTCTAACCCATTCCTCTTCTTCTTCTTCGTTCCACGGTTCTGACAGACTTGCTGAACAAATTGTCAAAGCAAAGGCAAGGAAAAGCAGCTTCAGTTCAATCATTTTGAAGTAGCAACGGGTGACCTTCAAATCACAGTGTTGTCAAGGGCAACTTTCGTTTCCAATGGTAACAATACAACAGCAGTGCGTCGCCTACAATATTTCGCGCGCTTTGCTGCTATGACGTCAAAGGCCGACAAGCTGCCACTGGAAACGGAGTCAGCTGCCCGTGACAGCAACACAAGTTGAACGTTAAAACCTGGTCACCAACCTTACTCAACTGATAATTTTAGTCCATCACAAACAAAATAACATCCAACAATTTCAAGCATGTTACAATAATTTTAATCGTACTCAATATCCACGTGTTTTTAACGCATGTGTTTGCTTATGTCACAACATTTCAAACATTTCGAACATTTCGAAATGCATTCAAATTCATTACGCCGGCAAAAATATTTGTTCCTGAAGATCCATGCTTGTTCTTCATTCCAATGAGGATTAACCTAGAGTGAAGACAAAAAAAGCGGTTTAGCAAGATTTATAAAAAAAAATATCACACGCAGCAAGCTACGAAGGCGTGTTCAAGAAAAAGGGGACTTACTAAACACAGCATCAGAGGGACGCGGAGGGGGGACCCCTATATGAAAAGGTCGAGGGGATGCTCGTCGTCACGCTTTAGGGGTGTGAATCAATGATTCTGGTCTCACTTAGGGCGTTCATAGCAAAATGTCACTATTGTTGAATGCGTTTCAGGCGGAGGGGCTCCACTTACAACAATAACACCTTGAAAGATTCTAAGAACACTTTGAATTTTAAGTTCATATCGTTAACGACGCAGTTAAAGAAAACGACGTACAAACTAACGATCTTAAGACAATGAATTCCACATGTCTTATCAGAAATAAGGTATCTTCAAACTTAACACAATGCAAATAAAACTGACAAACTCATTGAAGACTTTTGGCAAACCTTAATCTCTGTCATCTGCCTCGTTTTGGTGAGGGTGGACGCAAACACTGTTCATCTCTGGATGACATTAACGGGGAATTCAGCTTTGGCCTAAAAAAAAAAAAAAGAAAATTATATAAAGAAAACAAAAACATATTACTGACGCGAACTGCGATCAAACTTAGCACATTCATTTTTTCGGTTCATTTCTTGTTAACACTGTACAGCTAGAGCAGTTTTCAAACGAGTATCGTGAAACCAAATCCAAAGTAATCACTCTGGTTAATCAGAAAGGATATACACAATCCAGTGAACCAATCAAAACTCGAAGTGAATGCGTGCAGCTGACGCGAAGAGCGGGAAAACGCGCGCGAGAGAGTCATGATTGGTTTGGGTTTTAATCCTGATTGGATGATAAAGTTGCGCGAATGTTTAAGGGTTTTTAAGTA